CATCCAAATTGGTGTGTTGAGTAAGAAGTAATGGAGAGGGATCCCTGGGTGGCACAGCGGTTTAGCGCCTGCCTTTGGCTCAGGGCGCGATCCTGGAGACCCGGGATCGAATCCCATGTCGGGCTCCCGGTGCATGGAGCCTGCTTCTCCCTCTGCCTGTGTCTCTGCCTCTCTCTCTCTCTCTCTCTCTCTCTCTCTCTCTCTCTCTCTCTGTGTGTGTGTGTGTGTGACTATCGTAAATATATAAAAATTAAAAAAAAAAAAGAAGTAATGGAGACCCACTATAAGCTTCTGAGAAGAGAGTAGCTAGAAGAGAAGTATACTTCAAAGACTAAGCTAGTTAATGCCAGATAAATTGGGCAGGGGAGGCAGAGTAGGGGTTCACCGGCAGCTGGCACTAGAGGGGGAGAAAACTAGCGGCAGTGTTCAACCTGAACTTTGGAGGGAGGCAATGAAAACGGAACAGGACAGAGGCTCTCAATAGGCTGAACACCACCCAATGGATGTATGGAAATCTGTGGAAATATTTTTGTAATTGAGATGGTTGGAAGGCACTACTAGCAACACACAGGTGGGGTCAATGGTGTTACATCTCCAGCAATGCTTAGGGTAAATCCCATGCCAAAAAAAAAAAAAAAAAAGTCTCTACTTCCTTTCAAATGACTCACCAGACCTTCATAGTTGTAAAAATCTAATTACAATGATCTGAACCTAGATTCCAACTTCATTTTGCTAATTTTCTGTACAAGTTTAGCACATGCTGAATTTTCCAGGAAAGCAGCTACCATGTAGAGTAAGAGAACACGCTCTTTTATGCATAACTTTCTCCAAGAAAGTGTCATCATTTTGAAAAACAGAAATAATGCTGTTTTCTAGTATTAAGTCACCAGCAAGATATCTGTATGTGTTACATGGTATGACCTACAAATACATTACAGGAGAGATTCAATGTGCTTTTGGTAGACTTAAATATTAAGTTAATAGACATAAAATGAAGAATTCTTATGAGTCAAAGCTGTTTTAAAATTATTTTTTTATTTTTTATTTATTTATGATAGTCAGAGAGAGAGGGAGAGAGAGGTAGAGACACAGGCAGAGGGAGAAGCAGGCTCCATGCACCGGGAGCCCGACGTGGGATTCGATCCCAGGTCTCCAGGATCGCGCCCTGGGCCAAAGGCAGGCGCCAAACCGCTGCGCCACCCAGGGATCCCTGTTTTAAAATTATTAATCATTCTATATATTGTTAATTTTTATAGCATAAGGGGAAAGTATCTAGCAATTAATTTTTTGAAATTGAACTTGTTTTTTGTTTTTGTTTTTTTTTTTTTTTGGAGGGGGTCTGGGTTGCCTGCCATTTTAAAATCTTACTCTGAGATTGTCACCAGAGGTCCAGCACACCTCTCTTGGCCACTCTTAGTACCATTTCTGCTTCTAACCCATCCTCTGTTCCTATTGTTACTTAAAGGGTATAGTCACCAAGGTTTTGAGACAGAACGTGAACCTCAACAAGATGTAGAATTTCAAGGCAGGAATTTTCTAAGACTATTCATCTCTATTCTTCCCAAGCTACAACATGGGAAATTTTTCTTTCTTAACACTTATAAACAAGACAGGACTCATTTGCCAGTACATTTTAACTTCTCATTTTTCTAATTTGATAGTCCGTAATTAGTTAGTATGTTAGCCCCCTACTTCAATTAGGGTTATTTCCCTCTTTCTGTTATTATACCTAAATAAGCCTGGCTTATTATTATTACTTCTTGTACAGAATAGCCCCTAATCTATTCCTCTCTCAACTATAAACTTGTCCATTATAAGCAGGTGTGAGCAGTTCTTATTTCACTACCTTCTAATGCAGCAGTGCCTAAGCACTTTGTACAGAAATACAAACTATCTTAATATAAAAAAAATCCTTTTTTTCTCTCACAGCTAGAGCAGAATACAGGCTTTTTAAATTATATATGTGAAATTATATTTATAAATCTGTGAATTTAATCCAGCAATAGTGAAAGGGATATTATAAAACACTGGCTAGGGGATCCCTGTGTGGCTCAGCGGTTTAGCGCCTGCCTTTGGCCCAGGGCTCGATCCCACATCGGGCTCCCAGCATGGAGCCTGCTTCTCCCTCTGCCTGTGTCTCTGCCTCTCTCTCTATCATAAATAAATATATAAATCTTTAAAAATAAATAAATAAATAAATAAATAAATAAATAAATAAATAAATAAATCTTAAAAAAAAAACACTGGCTATAAGCATATGGCATCAAGTCTGACATTAATGAAAATCACTGGATTTTAAGAGACAGATACTAGATGCTAAAAGGGTTTAAAAAAAAAAAAAAAAGTTGAGCACAAGAGTATGCTGAATGAGAGAAGGTGCTGGAAGTGTCATTAGAATGTTCATGCCCCTGAGGGTGAAGGCAGAAAAACGGCGGTGAAAAAAGGAGGTAGAGATTCTCAAATATTCATAAACAATAGCAACAGGACTATTCTTCAGATGCTATTGAAAGAACACTCAGAGAAATGCTGAGAAGATAGGATATTCTGAAAACAGCAAGGGCTGGAGAAGTGGGCTCCCCGTGAAGGAGGGCCATCAAAGGCACTGAGGCACCAAACCAAGGTAAGCTGTGGATTATGGCATTTAGGGAGAAAGAGGAAGACCAGAGGTTCTTTCCTTGCCAGATATGAGAAGAGGCAGGACACACAGAAATTAAGGGTAGAAAGACTGACATTAGGAAGTAGTAGTGATGGGGGAACAGAGGGCTAGCTGAGGACAAAGCACAAGCATGGGGCAGCACAAGTCCTTGAAACAAGCAGAGGGACATTCCTCTAGGGACTTAACTACCTCACTGTTCATACTTTGCTAGGGGCAAAAGGCAATCTTAGCCTGACCCCCAGGTTCCTGTAAGTCTACTGTAACATATAAAACCCCCTTTAGAAACTTCTTTTATCTCTAAACCCCCCAAGATACGTGTCGGCAATCATCCTCCAAGCACATGGCCCACCAATAAACATCAGAAGGGTCTCATGACTAAGGTTTTATTAAACAGTAATAAATGACCTTTTCTCAACAATAAATAGCTAACCTCCTCAAGGTCCTGGAAACCTAGCTTCCAAAATTCCTTAGATAGTACACTCTCAGGATGCCTTGGTGGCTCAGCAGTTGAGCAGTTGAGCTCAGGTTGAGCGGCTGCCTTCGACTCAGGGCATGATCCTGGTAGGGGATTGAGTCCCACATCGGGCTTCCTGCATGGAGCCTGCTTCCCCCTCTGCCTGTGTCTCTGCCTCTGTCTTGCTCTCTCTGAATAAATAAATAAATCTTTAAAAAAAAAAAAAAAAAGACAGGGAACTTATACTGCAAAACTTTAGACTTATTACAAAGCTACAGTTATCAAGACAATGTGATATTGGCATAAGGATAGACAGACAAATAGAACAGAATAAGGAGTCCTAAAACGGGACTACTCATAGACAGATGACTGATATTTTACAAAGGCCTAAAGTAATTCAAAGGTAAAAGAAAATTCTTTTCAACAAATGGTGCTAAAAGACCTGAATATCCACATGGCGGACAAGGGAAGGAATGAATATTGACCTTTATCTCACACCATTCATAAAAATCAATTCAAGATGAAATCAAAGACCTAAACATAGTAGTTAAAACTATAAATGAAGCTTCCAGAAAAAAAAAAAAAAAAACCACAGAGTATCTTTGTGACCTTCAAGTCGGCAAAGATCTAATATAAATAAATAAATAACACTAAACAGACCAAAAAAAAACTAAAAAGAACAAAATGCACTAACCATAAAAAAAAAAAAAAAAGATAACTGGACTTCACTCAAATTTAAAACTTCAAAAGATACCATCAAGGAAATGAAAAAAGGAAGCCACAGATTAGGAGAAAATATTCACAATGCATATTGGGCAAAAGACTCATTTCAACAAGATCGGAGGAACTCCTACAAATCAACAATATAAAGTCAAACAACCTAATTTGGGCAATATACATTTCACAAATAGAACAGTCAATGTGCACATGAAAAGACGTACCTCATCATCAGGAGTCATCAACAAAATTCAAGTTTAAACCACAATACCAAAAAAAAAATAAAAATAAAAATAAAAATAAAAAATAAAAAAAATAAAATAAAATAAAATAATAAAAATAAAAATATAATAAATAATAAATAAATAAATAAATAAATAAACCACAATACCACATGGCACTCACTAGAACGGCTAAAATTAAAAAGACTTTCAATACCACAGGATGGTGAGACAATGTTCCAACAGGAACTTTCAGAAACTGTCAATCCAAGTATAAAATAGTGCAGCCACACTGATAATAGATAGGGAGTTTCTTACAAGGGCAAAATATATACCTACCTAGCAATTCCCACTTCGGGATGTACCTAAACAAACTGAAGTATATGTTCATAACACAGTGTTGTATAAGAAGGTTCATGGAAGTTTTATTTGTAATAGCCAAAAACTAAAAGCAACCCACTGTCTATCAACAGATTAAAAACTGTGGTACGCTCACACTATTATATAGTACTATGCAATAAAAATAAATAAATTACTGATACATACTACAACATGGACGAATCTCAGAAACATTATGCTGAGTTTAAGAATCCACTTGCAAAAAAATACACATTATGATTCCATTCATATGAAATTCTAGAACAGGCAAAACTAACCTAGTGATGGCAACTAGAACTGTTTCCTGGCTCTGAGGGAGAGGCTACTGGCTAGAAATGGACGCAAATGAACTTACCAGGATGAGGAAAATGGCCGACACATTTCTTAATTTGGGTGGTAGAGAAAAGGTTTTTATTACATCCATCAATATATGCTGAACTTGTTTAACAGATTCACTCAAAATCATTACATTACATGTAAATTGTACCTTTAAATGGTAAAATTCATTGGCTGCATATCATAGCCATACAAAAGTTGCATAAAACAGAAATAACATTTAAATAAAAATAAATACCTTTGTCCATCTGCAAAGCTTCACCCCAGAGTGGCTCCCAATCAACTGATAACCTGAACAGAAAAACAAGGAATACAAAATTGAATTGATTCAAAACCTCATCTATAAGGTGATTTTAAAACTTTAACAAAATCATTTTTCTTTCCTTAAATAATGGCAGGCAACAACCCAGTGGCAGGAAACATTAAAAGTTTAATTCACCAGGATGATAAAACATCCTAAAATGTATATGCATCTAATGACACAGATTGAAAATATATAAAGAAACAATAGGCTAATCCAAAATCACAGAGTAAGATCTTACAGTATCTAACAGATGCCACAAAAACCCAATAGAGCTCTAAAACCTATGCAACACAGGAAACATGATCAAGAACACAGAGTGCTGCATTCAACAACTACAGAATGTACATGCTTTTGGAGGACCCAAGGAAACTTTGTAAAAATAATCCAAATGCTGGGCCATAAAGCAAAAAGGCAAGTAACAATATACTTCAAATGAACAACTGGGGAACTCTTATCAGTAATCTCTGAAAAAAAGACGAAGAATCAGATAGGCAAAGGGATTAAAATAAAGAAATACAAAAAATAAAAAAATAAAAATAAATAAAATAAAGAAATACTGCCCCAAGAAGAGAAAAATAAAATTCTAGGAATCATAACCTCACATGAATTCTCAGCATCATTTCCACAACCTAGTATTCAAATTTGTGAGACAAAGAAGACATGAAAAGCATGGAAAAGCCATGCCAAAGTAATCACATTTCCTTTTTTAATAAACTAGTAGAGCAAACAAGTAGAACATTCTGATTTCAGAAAGCATTTAATAAAGTTTCTCACAAGGCTTCAACTAATAAGCCACAATTATGAGTCTCTTGTACAAAGACTCTTGACTTGCAGACAAATGAGGCAAATGGAGAAATACAGTCTGGATGATAGCGTAAGTGGATCAGTGGCTGGTTAAACATCCATATTCACAGTATGATGATTTATGAAACAATGTCAATTTGGATTACAAGTCTCTAGTGGCAATATTATAGAGCTTTGTCTTTTATCCTCTTCCACATTTATGTAAACATCTTGCATATAAATAAAGTACTGTCTATTTGAAGATGGAACTAGTGTAACTGAATAACTAACCTCAGATGCAGAATAAGCATTTAAAAGAATCCCAAAGAAAATTCTAGTTCTCCTGGATTCCTACATTATATGTTGTTCATACCATTATCATAAAAATCACACTCTGTTTTATTGGTTCCTTATATCCTTCTCTTCCAACATACATAGGGTTTGACAAATTTTGCATTTATGTAGGTATGAAGAAAACTGCAAAGTACAGGATGGATAGACCTGTGGCTGACCACAATGCCAAGATAAGCCAAAATATGCAGGTGCTAAAAATCACAGGACACAATTCTGTTCTAACCAAGATTAAGTAACAGAGGATTTACTCTCCCACCTGAAATGCCAAAAATGGGACAAAATACATGAACCAGTAGTTTCCAAGACATGAAACATCAGGCAACAAGGGACAGTAATCTCAGGGAAATGGGAAACACACAAGGTGAGCCCTACCATTACCAGAGCTTACTGCCTTAAAACTTTCCAGGCCATGCAGCAGGAAGAGGCAATTCAAGCACAGTAGTATTCTGTCTGAGCTGAGGACATGGGAGCAAGAGTCCAAGGGAGCCCACATGGCTAGAGCTTGCAGAGAGTCAAACGCTACACAGAAATTAAATCAAGAATCCGCAGAAGACTCCTAGAAATATCTAGTTGAGTACTGTTTAGTGCATGCATATGTGAGAGAAAAACTCACCAAGAATGGGAAAGAACCGTCTGAAAGGACTAGAGGCACACCTGGTGCTCACAGCCTGCTGGGAACTGTGCCTGTTCATACCAGTCAGAAGCTTAAGATTCACAAGGCACTGAGCAGAGTACACAGAAGTGTTTTGCCCCAACAGTCAGAAATAATTAGCCATATACTGAATCAGCAGCTCTGGTCTCACTTAACAAGTCATAGAAGCCAGATTAAAAGGCTCAAACTGTTTCCAAGTAACTGCTCTTCATCCTAAAACAAAACTTAAGAATGTTTATAGGAATACAAAAATATCTAGCACCCAGTAAGCTAAAATTAGATCTGGCATCCAATCAAAGATTACCAAGCATGCAACATGATCAATGAGGAAATTACCCAGCAACCAAACTGATCCAGACATGATATAGATGTTGAAAGTACATTACAACAGTTGTAAATTTGTAGGCTCAAAAAGTTAAGTAGAGACATGGAGACTATAAAAAGACCCAAACTCATATTCTACAGATGAAAACTATAGATGTCTAAGCTGAAAAACACATTGGGTAGAATTAATGGAAGATCAGACATTAAAGAAGAAAAGACTACTAAATTACACCTGAAAACATAGCAACAGAAGATGTGCAAAAATGAAAAGTAGAACAGAAAAAAAGAATTTTAAACAATGGAAAAGAGCACCAGTGAGCTATAGGTCAGATTCATGTCACTCAAGTCTCCAAGGAAGAGGACAGAGAGGCAGTGACAGAAAAACATTTGAATAAATAATGGCCAAAATTTGTCCAAATTTGATTTGAACTATAAATCCACAAAACCAAGAAGCCAACAAATCTCAAGACAAGCAACATGAAGAAAACTACATTGAAACACATTATAACTAACTTGCTCAAAATCAGTAATTAAGAGAAGATCTGAAAGGCAGCCAGGGGGTAAAAACATTACATTCAAAGGAACAAATGAAAGCTGAGAACACAAGCATCATCAGAAGCAATGGGGTCAAGTAGACAGTGGAACAACTGTAAAGCGCCAAAAGAAAAAAAAGTTGTCAACTGACAATTCCACATCCATCAAACACATCCTTCAAAAATGAAAGCAAAATAAAGCTTTTTTCAGATACACAATAGCTGAAATAATTCACCAAAAACCCCACACTACACGAAATGCTAAACAAAGCCCTTCGGGCAGAAGGAAAAGCTTGCCAGAGAGAACACAGATCTACGCAAAGGAATAAAAAGCACCAAAAGTGCTAAGTCCATACGCAAAATCTTTACTAATTACTTAAATGTTTAAGAGATCATTGACTATTCAAACTAAAATAACAATGTAGTGTAGGTTTATAACATACGTAAAAGTAAAACTATAACCTTTGCTTAGAAGTTAGCAAGGGGAAAACAGATGTACTACTGAAGTTTCTTCTGTATATGAAGTGGTATAAGATCTCAAAGATACACTGTGATATGATTCAGAGATAGAGTGTAAAACCTCAAACCGCGAAATAAGAACACAGTGGTATAACTAATAAGCCAATAAGGATGTAAAATTGAATCATAAAAAAACAATCTAAAGAAGGTAGAAAACAGGAATATAAGAAGTCAAAGTACACAAGACAAGTAGAAAATAAGCAGATAAATTAAAGGTTTAAACCTAGCAAAAAAATCATTCTAAATGGTCTGAACATACTAAAAAGATTACACACACATATATATTATACACACACACATGCATAAATACATATGATCTGAATACTCCTATCTGACTGATGGCTGATGACTCCTTGAAGGAGATGCTGTATCATGTTTCTCTGCATTGCCAGAACTATCACATCAAAAGTTCTCAAGAAATACAGAATGACGGGAGTGACGGCAAGAAGTCAATCTACTGACTCCCAACTGACCAGTCTTTCTTCTACAGGAAATCAATATTATTATTTGTTCTCAAGTTATAGTCTCCTTAGTAAGCTATGCCCACAAAACCCCAGATATACTTCTACATAAAACATTTCTAATTGACCCAGCCTAGTATCAATGTAAGCTTTTCTCTGCTTTTAACAATTTCCCCTTCATGAACAATGATTTGTAAAGAAGCCTATGATGGCATTTTCCACCTGCATACCTGAACCGAACTGATGCTAACATCCCAATAAACCAAGCAGAGGGGAAATGTGCTGGCCAGCAGCCAACACACAAGTGACCGACAGGAATAAGAGGGGCTCCTGCAACAGCAACAGAGTGACACAGCTGCTGGGCTAACCACAGGACTTCCTAAACCTTTCCTCTTTGCAATCCCTATTCTAGGCTTCCTCATTTAGGTATTCCATTAAAAGGCTTAAAGGGTAGTACTGTGATAGCACTTCTTGAGGATTTTCACCTTGTTTAGTGAGGGCTTCTCGGAGAGCAGGGGTTATCATAGTTCTTCTTTCACTGTCTTCATTCTTCACAGTGTTCCGGACCAAACTACTTTTCTCCTCCTGTTCCTCCTTTTCTCTCTGTATTAAAATTAAAAGAACAAAATTCAGAACTGGCAGTGAGCAATGAGCGTAACAGCACACCAACTACAAACACAGGGCATGGATGGGAGGGCTCACCACGCCACCCTGGCCAACAACCCAGTCTCCTCCAAAGTGATTACGTTCCCAATCACACAATGATCGGAAGACCTGCCAGTCTTATTTTTCTTATCTCTTTCCAAAAACATAACTACACAGTCAAACACATGCACTCACAAAACATAAATCAACAATCCACTTATCTAGGTGTCAATTATTTTTAGCAATCTGAGTACAGACAGCTGCCAAAATTCATCAAGTTATTTCTCTGAATTTCAATTTCCTCACCTGAAAAAGGAGGAAAGTAGCATCTGGGAGCAGGAAGATTAAGATTAAAAGAAATAAATCACCAGGTACTATGCCTGATATATAACTGAATTCAATAAAATGTAAGACTGCTGGTTATTATATCTGCAAACACCCAAAGCAAGTCAAAATAGTGCTTGGAGATGCTCAACCATTTGACCAAAGACCAAATTACTCCTCCACCTGCCACCCCAATGGCTCCTTCTAGAAGATCTGGTGGGAAAAACATGTCTTCAGTGAAAAAAAGAAACCTGAAGGATAATATAACACTGACTGTGTTTCCTCTTGACTTTGGCCCTAGAAAATTCAGCAGCACACAGATAACTGTGTAAAGACTCACATCATGCTTGTCTTGAATTCTCAGCAAGTGGCTTCATACTACATGATGACCTTCACCCTTTACACTCATTCCGTCCATTTATTTAAGATTGATTTATTTATTCATGAGAGATACAGAGAGAGAGGCAGAGACATAGGCAGAGACATAGGCAGAGGGAGAAGCAGACTCCCTACAGGAAGCCTGATGTGGGACTTGATCCCAGGACCTCAGGATTGCACCCTGAGCTGAAGGTAGATGTTCAACCACTGAGCCACATTTCTTCCACTTTTTAAATCTTACCATATATACGTTCTTTTTTTAAGTTACCTCAATCTGCAAGGTGGTAGAATGCTAATCAATAATTCCAAGGCAATACACATCTTTAGACATGTACACTTTAGAAGAGACACTAACCAGACCTTACTAAGAGAAATATAATTCAAGAATGCAATATAATTCTTAGAATTCTTACTAAGAATGCAATATAATTCACCTTGGCAGTGGCCCCACCACCAAGCCCATTTCTAATCCCCAGTCCCTAGTCAATCAGTAAGCAGACCTACAGTAAATCCTTTCTACCTAAAAGTGAAAACACCTGACAGATCACAGGATGCCTCAAATCTGCAGCCAACTAATACAGAAGGGAGAATGATCTGTGTTTGAAGCTGGACAAGTGACAGGGATTTACTGTATCATTCTGTCTGCTTTTGGGAACATTCGAAGTTCTCTATACAAAATAAAATTTAAAAAAATAAATTAAAAAAAAAGAAATAGAAAAGTAAACCAATGAAATTTGGAGTTAACTTCTCTACCTTCTCTGTGACTTTAAGGATTTGCTCCAAAATTGGAAGTCACTGAAAAAGTACTTTAGAGACTCAAAGGTATCAAATGAGAAACAATAAACCCACAGTTAGTTCTATCTGTCCTAAAGTCAGCATACTTAATTACTAAATATAATCAAAATGCAAAGCTAATGACCAATTTGGCTTCTGGTAATACAATTCTCAGAACCAAAAATTGTATAAACAAACATCAGTGATTTGTTCTCATCCATTATAAAAGTAATCAGTTTAATGCTGGGTATTTTATTAAAAAACATTAAATTTCAGCTACTCTTTTTTTAAGATTTTATTTATTTATTCATGAGAGACACAGAGAGAGGCAGAGACATTGGGAGAAAAAGGCTTCCGACTCGATCCCAGGCTACAACCTGAGCCAAAGGCAGACGCTCAACCATTGAACCACCCCACCACCCAGCTACCCCTCAGTTACTCTTAAAATACTTAAAAACAGGGGCAACCAGGTGGCTTAGCTGATGAAGCGTCCAACTCTTTGATTTCAGCTCAGGTCATGATCTCAGGGTCATGGGATCAAATCCCACTTGGGCTCAGCGCTATGCATGAAGCCTGCTTGGGATTCTCTCTCCCTGTCCATTTGTCCCTACCCTCTCCACTCTCATGCTCCCTCTTTCTCTCTCAAAAGAAAAAAAAATTAAAATTAAATAATCCTTTGGCTTCTTTTAAATCTATTTCAGACCTAAAACCAAAAAGGAAGTCTGTGATGGAGCAAGATGAATTGACCTTGACCGCATTTGTAGGTCTCTGAGGTAATTCCACAGCAAGTTACTAGAATTCCCCACTAATCACGCAAGAATTGCCAGGAGGTGGCACTATCTGCTCTCAAAAACCTCTGTCACCACAAAACATCTCCAGCTCATCTACTTACCCTAAAGGCTACATAAATCCAAAACTGGACTCAGAGCTCCAGAGACACTCTCTCATGGTTATGAAAACAAATTCTGACCCTAGGAAATGAATACTCCTGAAAAGGATGATCGTGGAACACTGTCCATGTCCCATCACTAGAGAAGTGATCTATGATAAAATATGAGAGTAGCTACTCTACTTCAACCATTCAGATACAAAACTTATATGGGAAAACGATCAGAGGCCATGATGAAAAGTCTTGGGCATTCAGGACAAACATTTATCCTTGTCTCCACAGTGGTTTAGTCACCCACTTTTCATATGCAGCAGTTACTTCATTTCTGAAAAGAAAGGCAGTGGTTCCTAACGCTCCAAGGAAATTTAAAGCACCATTTACATTCTAATTCTAATCTCCTGGGTACAGACACTATTCACTGTTTAACCCAGAATAAAATACTATATAACAAACAGATATATGTACAACTATTACACCACCTAAACATAAATCAATGAAAATTCCACATTTGGTCAACTTTGAATCCCCCCTTCCCCCATACGCCCCGCTGGACAAAGAGCTTTAATTCCCACAGACTGGCTCACTCCATCCACCATGCCCTGGTTTCTCCTAAGGAAAGGACAACTCCAAGAGCCAGACTAACCCATCTCCCTGTCTCCCAACTTGTAATTCCATCCCATCCCAACTCCCAAACCATCACACTGCCCTGAAAGAAAATACACGTCCTCTCCAAGCTGCTACTTCTGAACATGTAAAAAAAAAAAAAAAAAAAAAAAGGGAAATTGATTATAAACTAATGTCCTAGGCACTTAGGAAAATGACTATAAGTAAGTGAAAAGTACTTTATAAACAAATAGGCCTATATTAATCTTACATAATCATGGGAGCAAAAAATGGTACCAATTTCCTTTTTAAAAAGATATCATGCAACATCACCTAATTCATCTTCATACCATCATCCCAGAAACCACAGTACCATTCCAATTATCACCTAGAAAATAAACAAGGCAAAAAAGTCATCCATTAAAGATTGTAAGGTAAAATTCCACCTGGCCAGGTAACTGCCAAACAAGTGTATTGTCACAAATGAGCTCTTCATTACCAAAGCATACAGACATTCCTTCTGGGAAAAAGAATCCTTCTGATTGTTTAAATCTATTTATTTTATTGATCCTTGTTTATCATCCAGTGATTCCATTCCTTATCAAGGCATGCAGAAAACAGTTGCCAGGTTCTCTAGAAAGGTCATCTTTCTATACAGCCAGCTTACCTAAACCTGGAAGCCTTGTTAGCACAAGGCAGGCATTCTGTAAATGTTTGGCCAAATAAATGAATGCCTCAAAACTTCCAGAAGGCTAATCCTGGCTCTAGAAAAGCAGAACTCACTTAATTTGGTAACGGATTCTAGATCTGGCAACTTTCAATATTAAAAACTCTCCTTCAGGTATAAAAACTAAAACTCCTGCTGCTGCAATTTAACACCGCTTCTGCAGATTCCTATTTCTTTAAGAAACGAACCCCCACGTACCACTTGCTTGTCACAGCTCAGTTTTTAAATGACGAGCTTTCAATGGGACTGAAAGTTTTTCTGTTTACTACTAGGCTTTAAGGATGCTTTCTGAACTTACTGAAAAGCAGTTTGACCAGATGTATCAAATGGTTTTCCTCTGACCCAATGGTTCTATTTTGGGTAACCTGACTTAAGAAAATAATTCCAGGGGACGCCCGGGTGGCTTAGCAGTTGAGGGTCTGCCTCTGGCTCAGGGAGTAATCCCGGAGTCCTGGGATTGAGTCCAAATTGGGCCTCTTGCATGGAACCTGCTTCTCCCTCTGCCTAGGTCTCTGCCTCTCTCTCTGTTATCTTTCATGAATAAATATCAAGAAAGGAAAAGGAAAAAAGAGAAAGAAAGAAAGAAGAAAGAAAGAAGAAAGAAAGAAAGAAAGAAAGAAAGAAAGAAAGAAAGAAAGAAAGAAAGAAAGAAAGAAAGAAAGAAGAGAAAGAAAAGAAAAGAAAAGAAAAGAAAAGAAAAGAAAAGAAAAGAAAAGAATTGCAGACAGAACTCACTATAATAATGCTCCTGACTACACAAGCCATGGGTAGGACAGGTTGGTTTAAAGGTTGGTTTAACATTTTTTTTTAATTTTTATTTATTTATGATAGTCACACACAGAGAGAGAAAGAGGCAGAGACACAGGCAGAGGGAGAAGCAGGCTCCATGCACCGGGAGCCCGACGTGGGATTCGATCCCGGGTCTCCAGGATCGCGCCCTGGGCCAAAGGCAGGCGCTAAACCGCTGTGCCACCCAGGGATCCCTTAAAGGTTGGTTTAAAGGCAAGGTTAAAGGTGTCTTGGGGTTGAAGGGATGTGTTACTTGTGTTTCTGGGTGAATTAAACAGCCAAAGCCTTAAAAATAATAATGAAAGAAGAACAGCTTCATGTTATTCCACTGCAGTACTATGCAACTTTATAATCAGAACTGGACACACTGAGATCCCTTTGTAAATTGAAATGCTTCTCTGGTGAGTAATTACCAAGCATTCACCATTTATTTCCGAAACTAATGATACTGATACCACTGTTTGCTTAACCGGA